CTGCAACTTACCTGGCTGCTTCTTGCTGCTCGTGGCCTGACTGAGAGCTGCTGGGAGCAGGGGGCGGGGCTTGTTGCATGTGCCCACCCCCTGGGCTCCTTACTGCTGGAGCTCCGCTCCTGTGCGCTCCTGCAGGAAATGACCCCTAGGTGTCAAACTCATTTGTTACGAGGGCCAGATCTGACATACATGTCACTTTATGGGGCCGAGCCATGTGTGCCATAACACGTAATGCTGGGTAACGGAGATATAAACTGTATAAAGGACAGCAGCTGGTAAACTCCAAGTTATATACTCACTGCAAGGCTCCATGGGCTGGGGGGGAGGGGGGTCCAGAGGAAAACCCATATGAAGAGCCAGTGGGCAGATGCTCCAACCTCGCTTGGGTGTTGCAGATGAGGTTGTTCCACCATGCTGAAGCCACAGTTGGAATGGCTGCCCCCACTCCACCACCCCCCGAACAGCTTCCTGTTCCCTCCCTTGCACTAGTTGCTTGCAGGCCGGTAGGGCTCTTTTTGTAGCAGGAGCTTGTCACTTTATGGGGCCGAGCCATGTGTGCCATAAAACGTAATGCCAGGTAACGGAGATATAAACTGTATAAAGGACAGCAGCTGGTAAACTCCAAGTTATATACTCACTGCAAGGCTCCATGGGCTGGGAGGGGGGTCCAGAGGAAAACCCATATGGAGAGCCAATGTACAGATGCTCCAACCTTGCTTGGGTGCTGCAGATGAGGTTGTTCCACCATGCTGAAGCCACAGTTGGAATGGCTGCCCCCACTCCACCACCCCCCGAACAGCTTCCTGTTCCCTCCCTTGCCCGATTTGATAGCAGGCCGCATAAGAGTCCTGGGTGGGCCAATTCTGGCCCCCGGGCCTTATGTCTGACACCCCTGATGTTAGGGTATTTATGACTGAATGGTAGCCCCGACCTGGATGGTCCCAGGCTAGCCCGATCCCATCAGATCTTGTAAGCTAAGCAGGATTAGCCCTGGTTAGTATTTGGATGGGAGGGCCACCACGGAAGTCCAGGGTTCAGAGGAAGGCAATGGCGAATCACCGCAGAACTTCTCTTGCCTTGAAAATCCTACAGGTTCTCCCTAAGCCAGCTGCGACTTGACAGCACTGTCCACCACCACACGATTGAATTGTAAAGCAGGAACTGTCTAAGGCAGGGGTGTCGAACTCATTTGTTATGTGGGCCGGATCTGACATAAATGAGACCTCGTTGGGCCGGGCCACCTGTGTCATAAAATGGAATGCCAGGTAGCGGAGATATAAACTTTATGAAGGATACAGACACAAAGGTTTTCTTTAAAAAATAAAGACATACTTAAAACATTAGCATTATTGCAATATTTTGTTTATTTAACAGTGTCTCATAAGGGACACCTCTTGCTCTGAAGTATTGCATCAAAATGTCTGTGCTGTTGCAGGCCTGAGTATGCTGTTCAGGTGTGTATCTGTAAGTTGCAAACCTATGATGATGCAGCAGCAGCAGCAGAACTGGAAAAAGAAGCAAAAGACAGCCAGTTCCACTGCGGGCCTGAAAGAAGCCCTCCGGGGGCCTAGTCTGGCCCCCGGGCCGCATGTTTGATACCCCTGCACTAAAAAAATGCTGGTGAAGAGCTCCACTTAATGACAGCCGTTCTTCCTTTGAAGACCTTCCCCATGGGTCATTTCGTAGAAAAAGAGCTAGGGGACATCATTAGCATAACTCATTAGCATATGCCACACCCCCTGACATCACCGGAAGTGTGTCATAAGGCCACACCCCCTGGCATCACCGGAAGTGTGTCATGAGGCCACACCCCCTGGCATCACCGGAAGTGTGTCATGAGGCCACACCCCCTG